TTAAAATGTGCATCACCACAATTTGTCGGCACGGCTAGGTAATACGTTTCTGATAACACAATTTACTGCTGAGTAACGAATGAACGCGGCAATGATTAGATATTAAAAAGACCAATTTCAACTCACTTTCGGTGAACTCCTGCTCAATTAACGACCACACATAATTATCCTCTTTGTATTTGTTCATTTTATCAGGTAGAATTATATCGTCCTCTGTTTTTATAGTAGGTATTCTTTGTTTCAGAAAACCGATCATTTTCTAGAATATAACAACAACATATATTGTAAAACAGAGATTGCTTTAAATGCCTTCACTTCTCTTTCTTCGCAATAACCATAAATCTATATTGTTTAAACTATTGTCTTAAATTAAATCTTAAAATGCTTTCATTTGTCTTCTTGTACACAAATATGATTTGTTATCAATGCTGCGTGCAATTGAAATATGCATATATATGCATGAATAATGTAATAATATAACTAGACTGGAATTATTATCCTGAACCACCAATATAGACTGGACTCATTTTCATGGACCCTCTTGATAGATATATAGATTTATATATTAGACTCTGGAAACATAAGTTGCTAGAAGGTGAAAACGAATTGTATTTTTAAATATTAATATTAATATTAAACGAACAGGAAATAGATACATACATGGGGATATGGCGGTGCTGCTACATACAGTGATGTGATATTGTATGATTTCGTGATATTAAGAATGGCGTCCGCAATCACATCAATAGATCTATCTAATATCCTTAAGCTATCCAGCATTTCTTCGGTGCAGAAATGTATGGTGCGTTCTCTGCAACTACAAAATTGAAATATGAATTAATTAGGTAAAGTTCGAACAATTTTAGGGATCTGTGTGATGATTGCTTAATTTTAAATGTAATTAAAAGTTCGTAAAATCCATTGTTCTCGTAGCAGATTAAACCAGGTATTATCGACAGTTTTATTTTTTAAGAAAACAACATCCATGTACATATAGTGTTTCACTTTTAACAATAATATGTCACATTCAGATACGCACAATTAAAACGCAGTCAAACAAACGATTCAGTAAGGGAGGGTCAAGTAGAGACCTACAAACTGGTATGCAAAGCACCCAATGGGTATGTAAATTATGGTTTATATTATCGGCAAGGGGTTCCATTGGAGTGTCTGTTTTTTTCGAAAATGTATTTCAATGTTGGGTTTCAAAAGTCGCCCGCATATTTTTAAATAAATAATACGAGAGAGGGAATATAGTAACTGCCAGCATGAAATGAATGAGATATGTATGTGCATACGTTATATGTGACATATGTAATACATAGTTTGCAGTGCAGCTGTTTTTGAATCGTTTAATTTGTAATTGAGACCATTAGATAAATTGTTGTATTTTATACTTACAACTCTCCAGATTTGTTTCTCCAATGGAGTACTGCATACGGAGATCCATCGGAAATCTGTTGAACTACGATATCAGCAGCATGGCGTATATACGGTGCTCTCTTCAAACCGTTAGCAATTCTGACATTTATTTCTTGTTGTTGTTTTTTTTCCACTCCGCCATTCGCTAAAAATATCAAACATTTGACCCGTTTGGATAGCTCGATAGAACTAGCTTCATTATTTCTTTGATAAACTTCGACAGCATTTCTTTCCGGTAAACTGATATTTAAGACGTTTTGGAAGAAAGCTCCAGCAGTACTGTAACTATGTAATATTTTCTCGAACACTTGCTGATTGTCTTTCTTTATTTGTAATCCGAGTAATACGTTTTCTACCATGAATCGTCGACCGCATTCTTTGATAAATTCGGTAGTAGTTGCTAAGTCTACAATTTTTCGAAGTCTCGGCAAATCAAATGTTTCATCTATGCTACGCTTTATACTGACATTATGGATGTGATTATTATGAAAAGGTATTGTCACAAGTGAACGGTTGAGGTATATGGCAAGCGATAAACCAAATTTGAAAAATGTGTACTGCCCACATGGTCCTGCGTTGTAGAAGAAAATTGGCAGCAGATATTGACGACTGTGTGTAATGTTGCTGGATGTGTTCTCTTCAACATCCGGTATATCATCTCCAGCTTGTTGACTGTGGTTCGCTTTCAAATGTCGAGTATCCAGTTCACTATTCTCCTTACCGTTATAAATAGCGACGGTTTTGTCATCGTGGACATTAGTCTGCTAGGAGTAAAATTATATGATTAGAAGGTGTAAATTTCACGTATTTTGACATTTTTTGACAGTGAAACTTTTATGTCATTATTTGAAATTATTATACGTCATGACCATGACAGCCAATCAGATTCGAGCATTACAAGTATTACAGTTTGACATGATGACTACATCCAACCGGTTTTCTTCCTAGCGAATTTATCAGATTTACGACAACATTCATGAAATAACTAGTTTTGCTTTCACTATTTGACAATCGTTTGCAGCGAGTTTCACCAGCGCGCTCGGCTAAGCGCTTTTACGCAAATCGTCTTTGTAAAGATCATTGAGGGTCGTGGACTTTGCTGCAGTTTGTTTTGATAATATATATATAAATATTATGCATACTAGTTTATTTGCTGAAAGACCATACTGAACCAGTGTGCAGCGTGTCCAATTAATTCTTCAGGCTGAAATTATGTTTATAAAACTATAAAGGTAAAGGCGTTTATGATAAAACTCTCTAATTCTCAACCAATGCTTTTGGACTTTTTCAACTTGTAGATTTATGTACATACAAGCTTACATGTGCATTCTTGGCGAGGGTGACTTGGAGATTGCCATGATTGAATGCAACAAATTTCCACAAAGAGATATAAAACAAATGTTCACTCCAACAGCGGTGGACATATGTTTTCAGTTAGCCTCAGAGTCCATTGTCAACCGAGGCGAAGACGTGTCGTAAAAGCTATTACTGTCCACCTTTGTTGGGGTGAACATTGTATAATGTCGCGCAGTGTGGCTATACTCACGGCTATACTCAACTATACAAATTGTTAACAGTGCAAATTGTAAACAAAAAATGCCTTGAGAAGTGATTCAATCGTCGGAATTGAACTACGTGGAAAATACTGTTGAATAAAGATTGCGAGTAAAAAAGAGTTATGGCGTGATCAGTAGCACCACGGCATTATATACATGTATATGTATACATTATGGTAATATTAATAGAACACAATATCATTACTTTGTCGATTGAAGTCAAAATGATAATCTCTTACCTTGTATGTACTCTCCGGAAGTTGTGAAACAATTGGCTTGATGGGCTGGGGTGCAGCTTGGATTGGAAGGAAATGTGCTTGCATGTAAAAGGATTGTTGTCTTTGGAATGAATAATATATCAGGATAGTGAATGCGCAGCATGATACGAACAAGACCTGTCTTACGTACTTCATGACGATCGTATTTACGCTGTTACGCGACGTGCGTCATTTAGCATTAAATGACGAACAAACATATGCAAATTAGGATTAGGATTTTAAATAGGCCATGTAAAATGAATTATAATTTTCTATTCAACATTTCATTTATTTTATTTTTTACATAATTGTCTAGCTTAAAACTAACTGCAACCTTGGAAATAATTTTAATGTTTCATAATTATGTCTTGAAATGTATTAGCTATAATTATATTGATCAACTCTATAACCAGAATAAAGTGTGTGGTTGGCATAGGTTATTTTGGTGTTTGTGTTTTTACAGATGTTGTAGGCTCGATCTCCATTTGTTTTTATAGCGTGTTTATCTTGTCTACAGGCCATTCGTATTTGCTACTGTGTCAATAAACTGCCCATTTCAATTGTGTGTGTTTGGGGGGGGGGGGTGTTTAAATTATCAGATGTGTTAAAAACGTCATTAAAGTAGCCAGAAAGAATGGTTAAAACGGTCGGCGAGACATGATCATAGCTTTGCGTAATTTTCTTTTAAATGGTTTCTTATTACATTTTGTTTCTCAGTCAATATTCTATTTTACTATCACCATTTTACAACGCAATGCCAAGGGAAAGATTGATTGTCATTGATTATTACAACTTGTCAATCACAGAGGTATAATTTAACCATGCCAGAGCAGTCCCTGATATTCTCGTACAGTTTGCTAGGCGAGCAGTATTGTGAGATCTACTGTGTTAAATGCTGCTGACAAGACCAAAATAACTAACACGACAATTTTTGTGATTGCCCGGGGCTTGTAGTATATTTTTGAGAAGTTTTATCATATCATACTGTGTGGTGCGTTGTATGCAGATTTAATATATTCATCTAGACCGCTGGTTTGTAAATTGGTGGTAATGTTTGATACAACGATGTTCCTATAATTCAGAGTTAACTATATTGATGATAGTGGATAAATAGAAAATACAGGTATTGTTCAGAGGCACGAAATTTTGCATAGAGGGGCGAGATCTGCGCACCATGCGACTGCTCACCATCCGCCAAAGGCATGCTCCCCTGAAAAATGATGTAATCTAAACCCTCTGAAACGCTATTTCCAGCATTTTGAGGGAGCGTCCCTCCTCCAACATTTTTTTTTCAGAAGCCGACCGCCCCCTGCCCCCGGTGCCGCCGCCACTGATTTTTGTTTAGTACAATTGTGAGTAGTTGGGAAATTAAATAACTATATAAAAATCACCAGTATGGGATTTTAAGATGGATGTCTTTTTCAAAAGCTGAGAAATGTATACCCATAGGTAGAAGAGAGTGGAATATTGCTATAAAGGTGAGTACTGGCCCGTCTTACGTGTTCAATGAATGCCAAAAAAAACACTGCATGTTTTGATTTAGTTTGAATTTTGAACTGATTTAAGTACTTAATATATATGTATAAGTTACACCATGGAGGTAGAAAAGATTTTCTACCTCCATGGTTACACATAATCCTCGAGAAAACAGTAGTTTAGTCCACAG